GCGGTGAAGAGTATTGTCGGTTGTAAGCAACTGCAGCCACAACGCTGTCCTCCATCCAAGGACCTTGGTCAAAACTTTAGGGAGAAAACAAATATGATTCTGATGTCATAATGGAGAACTCACCGGCGATTTCACGGGGAACACGAAAGGTACGTCGTGGAGTCGCGGCTACAGGCAGCAGCTAGGTGCACACACGCACGGAGACGGACTGTCCTCTGATCCGGATCACTAATCCAGGAGATTGCGGTAACGCGGTTTCAGCCAGTACTGACTCACCTTCAACGAATACCATTCGCTTGTAAGTAGCCTTCAACGTTCAACGTCCAATGCCGACTCGGTCCGATACCTTTTGCCACTAGATCACTTGCTCATTCTCAGACCTCCACGTAACCGCCGGTACACGAAGCATAGGCAGCATGGCCGACTGTGAAGGCAATGAGAGAAGAGTCATAGGGGAATACCCAATGATGACTTTTATTGAATATGCTCGACCTAGGTCCCAAGAGCCTAGATAACGGATTCGGGCTACACTACCGGTCAGCCCGTCTTTAGATCCATTGAATATATGCAATATATTTCTGTATAAGCTAAGATTGTGATCATGATCAAGTCTAAGTGCTCACATTGGTGTACGTGTCGAAATGGATGGTGATCTTGTACGTTCTTGCGCCAAAGCTTGTCCGCTCGTGCGCTGCGGTTACAGAGCTCATCATTCAAAGACAAGATGAACAATGGGACAATGAAAACAGCAATAGGGACACGCGAGCACGCCCATCGCGAACACTACCAATGATGACTGAGATGGCGCCAGGTGATCCCAGTGGGCGTCCCGGTCTCCAGCGACCGCGTAACCCAGGATAGGACAGATAGGAGCGGACACAGGACGAGCCAATAGATCACGAAACAGTAACTGCTCTGGGTCTAGTAGGACAGCTCGGACCAACCTTCCAGCTTCATTGGCCGCCACGTAGCGATCCGTACGCCGTCACACCAGCCTCTGCGTGATCGCAGCGTTAGCTGTGAGAGAGCCTCCGTCAAGCCTCCGTTTCGTGCCCCGAACGGGGCAGTGGCAGGGGCAAACTTCCATCTAGCACGAGATCTCATCGATCCGTGGTGCGTAATGACGAAAATGGCACGTTCACCACTGCTGTTCAGCGACAGCACGAGCCGCCAGAGGAGAAACGGGTGTACCTACCCTGCTAGTGGGGTTCCCAACTGTCACTCTTTCTTCGGTGAGCACGAAGAGAGCACAGCCAGTCAATCAGCGCCCGCGGTGCCACTGCACACTTGGCCGCACACCAGGATCTTGACAAGTAGGATACGAGTGCCTCGCGATCAGACCGTATTTTCTAGAGCCTCAAGAGGGGGATTCAAGTAGACACGTCCAGCAGCCGTTCCAAATGCACGACGGAGCCAAACTAGTCCGACGCGGATTCCCAGGCGATTTATCGGTGCCCGTGCGTATCATGTTGCATCAGCGTCCGTACGTTCTGTGCCAGGAATGCTCGATAGCAATGTCGAAGGGCGGGTCTTGAGCCTGGGCCCACGGCGTGTGTGCCCCATCTTTCGTGGCGCGCACCAGGCTCTTCGCGAAACTTAGCTCCAGCTCTGCGGCCCCGCTCTGCGTGTAAATCGCGAAGCTCGATTCCTATCAGCCGTTTATGGATCGCTTCAAGTGGGTTCATTGAACTTCATGAGCTTGTCGCATTCGCCATGACTTGTCCTCTCATATTTCTCCATTACGTTATCTCATGCACTGCGTCAAATAACGTATCAATATCAGGGAGTCTGCGCGATTCGAGATTCCATGACCCCCACACTCAATCCACATTCGGATCCACTTTAATAACGATCTTGCCCGTCGCTCGGCCAGACGTCATGCGCTCGTACGCCTCCAGCGCATCCTCAAAGGCGAAGGTAGAGTCCACAATGGGTTTAATTTTTCCTGTGTTCGATCATCAGAGTGCTGTACACGTAAACAACACCATGGCATACCTTCCGAGACATACGCGGCCACACGCTGGAGATCATCCCCGTTATTTGCTACTGAGATGATGCTGACCTCGCCGAGCCCAGTGAGCATATAGTCACCATGTCCATCCAGCTTAGGCACTTACCGCCATGAGCGCCGTGTTCCCCCCAACCAGCCAGGTTGTAAATACACTTTCCAAACCAGTTTCCAGAACCCGCCAATATCGAAGCCCTTTGGCTGCGGGCCTGTTGATAAAAATACACAATTTGGCGCTAGGTAGGCCTCGCTGTGTATGTATAGATCCGGATCGAACAAACCAACCGCCTCAAGGAAGACGTGGAATTTTGGCAGGTTTGCGGCTGCAAGGGTCTCGTGCAATGGGCCCTTGGTGTAGTCAAAGAACTGAAAAGTGATTGGCTCAATATAGGCAGGACGCAGAACACGGCAGACGCACCTCATCTGCACCCAAACCTCGCACAAATGCTTCGTTCTTGCCTGATGCACTGGCCGCAACTGTGCAGCCGTTGGCCTTGGCAAGCTGTATTGCGAATGCACCGACGGCGGTGCTGCCCCCATTGACGAACACCGACTGACCAGCCTCGAGTTTAGCGATTTTGAACAGTGCTTGGTATGCCGTCATCGCCACGAGGGGAATGCCCGCAGCCTCGGTCCATGAAATATTGGTCGGACGACATACTAAGGCAGACGCAGGCACACGGGCATATTGTGCAAGTGTGCCGCTCGGTCGTCTGAATGCAGGCGCTATATGTGACGTCGGTGAACAGAAGCATTGCGGGAGGAAAATGATACAACGAACGAGCTGAGAGAAATCCGAAGACCTCGTCGCCCGTCTTAAACTTGGATCCATTTGCATCGACGACAATACCGGCGAGGTCGTGCTCGGGGATGTAGGGTCTTTTGAGAATGAAGCCGGGAACCATACCCATGATCTTGTAGGCTCTAGAGCATAGTCAGTCGTTATCTTCAAGTCGTGCGAACACGGATACGTACACGGGATTCAAGGCTGCAGCACGGACTTGTACGAGCACCTCTCCTTTCGCCAATGTTGGAACGGGTACGTTGTCGTCCATACGTAGGACTTGCGCGGGAGTACCCTTTGCAGCCACAAGCCACGCTCGTTGTGTTCTAGGGATCGACATGGTGGTGGTGCTGGTGGTGCTGGTGGTGGGGAATATGGTGATGGTACACGATCAGCCGTTCTTCTTATACACTACGACATTCGCAGTTCAATGCAGTACTTGGCTGTGAGGTACTGTCGTCCAACGCAACCGCACAGTCGCAGGTGTCATGCAGAGCTTGCCAACTGGCAACAATCAGCAGTTCGCCAGTCCATGAACTTACTCGACGGCAACGATGGCCCAGGCAAATCAGGGTAACGGACTTGCTGTGCTGTCTGTGAGCTTGGCACTGCTCCGGGCTAAGCCCAGACGCGTCACTGTCGTCTCAGGCTCACGCGTCGCATTCTTCTCATTGCTCAAGCGGTCAAGCGCGTGGACCGTGCGGGACCAAAATTAGTGCAACTTTGTGGCCCAGTCAAATACGAAGTTGGTCCCGAAAAGACTTGAGAAAATCTAAGCTTAGTACATATAATCAATGCTTTCAATGTGTGAATAGAATCCATAATATAAATTGCATGCAATTAAATCTACATTTCACATCTTACACGGCTACTACACGACTCAATAATCCTGCATGGAACGCTGACCACCTACCGTCCTAAATGCACTCATCCGGTCAGCGGGTACGGGAACGGGTCGGTAGGATGAATCACAATCAGTCTCGAATCGGTGAAGGAATCGACGTGGAATCGCCCATATCCAGAGGATCCACTGAAAAAGGGAATTAGATCGCGATTTTTGACTCGATAAACTGGACAAGATACTCACCCAAGACCAATATTATCCCTCGCTGCCTCAGCGTGGGCCGTTGGACCGTTGATGTTGACAGCCCCTGATGAGCGATGGTCAATCAGACAACACTGGACCTCGGAAGAATAAATGTACTTACCGTAACGCATCTTCATCCCGAGGGTGACAGCCTTGTTCAAATCCTTCGTCCACAACGAAGAGACGAGCGAATAATCGGTGGTATTCGCCAATGCCACCGCCTCTTCTTCTGTGTCGACCTCGGCCACAGCTACGACTGCACGTGGACATGACTGTCAGCGGAGAGCATTCGCAGCCAGACGCTACTAGCTCACCGGGTCCGAACGTCTCCTGATCCCATATGGGCATGCCTGGTTTGGCGCCAGTCACAATATGCGGCTGCACCACTGCACCATTCCTCGCCCCGTCACCCACCAAACACTGCGCTCCGCTTGCCATCGACTTTTGGATAATCGACACAATATTCGCCGCAGAGCCTTCGTGGACCACTGCGGAAAGCATAGCCCCAGGGCCTCCAGCGGAAAATTTCTTGAATTCGTCGGCAAGAGCCTGAAGGAAGTCGGATGCGACCCCTTTCTGCACAATCACACGCTCAGTGGACATGCAAATCTGGCCAGAGTGCAGAAGCGCGGAGGACGTGATGGCTCGGGCAGCTAAAGCAAGATTTGCATCGTTGAGGACCTGAATGAAAATTGATTGCGGCGTTGGAATGAGTGAACACACGCAACGCACCACGGCGGGTGCCTTCCCCCCTAGCTCCAGTACGCATGGTTTTAGGAATTTTGCAGCATGACCGGCAACGATTTTTCCGACATTGGATCCGCCAGTGAACTGTTGTGCATCAGTACGTGTTTGATCAACGAGTCCTCGAGCATACTGACGTTAATAGTGCGCACAGCCGGGTGCGCGATGATCTGGGCAACTCGATCGGGAGCATCCTCTCGTGATACGTGTACGACGTTGAGGACACCTTTGGGCAATCCCGCCTAGTATACGTATATCAACGAGGGTTCATCTTCAAAGTCAAGACATCGGTCCTGATACATACCTCCTCAAGTAGTTCTGCGACAATCTGGTGGGACCGTGGACTATATTCCGACGTCTTCAACACGACGGTGTTACCGCAGACGAGGGGATATGTAACAGCTTTGATCACCAAAGGAACCGGAAAATTCCATGGTGCCATACCGAAACTGAGTGACATTGCTGTTAGCGAGGTGAAGATAGAGATATGGAGAACTTCGTACTTGACACCCTGGGCTCGGCGCTGCATCAAGACTTGGCCTCCCGGGAAGGCAGAAGGGAAAGTCTCCCCCTTTAGTTCGTTGACCAAAGTCGCAACGTGGCGAAGTATGCCGACAGTAGGTATAATATTGAGGAGAACTATGGAGTCCACGCTGGCATTCTCCTCCGTGACAGCGGAATGTATCTTCTGTGCATACTTGTCGGTCTGTATGAGCTCGGCAGCTTTGAACAGGATATCACGTCGCTGCTCTAGTGTCGAATACTCCCATGTCTCGAAAGCACGGGCAGCCGCCTCTACCGCCCTTGTGCAGTCCTCGCTGGATGCAGAGGCAGCTGTGGAAACCACCTGGGATGAGTGCGGATTGCGTACATCGTAGGTGGCACCGTTGCTGGCTGAAGTGTATTCGCCATCGATGTAAAGAGGGACGAAGGGGGCGGACATGGCTGGGCTGGATCCTGGCTGTATCTCAGTGTGTGCTTTGCTCTGGTTGTCTTACAAAATACTTCAGGATTTATATCGATCGTCCTCCAGTCCACAGCCACACTGGGGAGATTTCAACGTGCCGGACGCATGAAATTTGATCAGCCTCAGCAACTGTGAGCTTCTTTATAAGTACGTCGGTTGCGTCAACACCGCCGCTGAATACCGAGCCTAAGATTCTATGCTGTCATTGGACCAGGCAATATGCAAATGTGTCAAGTTGTCGACTGAGTACTTATCACCACGGTTTGGTTTGAAGTGGAGTGTCTCGTTACACGTTTCGCGAATATGAGAGTAATTCGGAGTTCCGGTGTCGGCGTGATGCCGAGTACCAAACAGCGGCCTGAATCATAGCCTACGAACCTGATAGTATTAGCTCAACCGAGGCGCGTTATGGCACGTACACCAGATCCTATACTTACTATACTCCGTGAAGAGATCGCGGTTTTGCCAATGAGCACTACCAGCAAGTATTATTTATATATCATGCTGACGGCTGCGAGACTTTACTTTCTTACCACAGATAGAGCCTCACAAACTCTACCAAGGTTCGTCGACCATTGTCAGTGACGAAGTACAACGATTGAACCAGCAAGAGGAAAACACCAAACAGGGATGACCGCAAGAGATGCAAACGAAACGGAGAACTTTAATGCCCAGATATGTAAGCACACTGTCCTAGGCAAAACGTCCAACTCAAAGTATGATCACATCTGCAAACCTCAGATCTTAGGCTCAATCTTCCTAGGCTCAATCTTCAACGTCGGTCACCGACAGTGGGAGTCAACAATGAGGATTGAAAAGTATGAGCGCGCGAAGACGTGCATGACTGTTCATCATAATTGAACAGTTTGACCAACTAACAGCCAATGAGACTGTCACCAAAACTCACCTAAGCAATAGAAGAGAAGATCGAGGAGTATGATCACCACTGCTCACTTTGGGTAGCTGGACGCAGGAATAAGGCCGCGACAAGCCGTGCTGAGATGAAAGTAATCCGAGATCCGAGCAAGGTCATAGATGCTATTGATACAATATCATTACTGTCAAAAGAAACTCAGATTAGCTGACACTCAAACCGTTCAGCGAAAGCACAAACCTTAATAAACTTGGCCATGAATTTTCTTCGAGCTTGTCTCAGTAATAAGAACGTCAATGAACTCGAATGACTCACTTGTGAAATTCAGTCCGTAAGAGGTCATTCACGAAGTGACCCGAAGCCTTATCCTTGTCTCGCGCATTCATGGCTTGGTTCTTGAATATCAGGTCTAACGCAAAAATATGGTGAGCACTATGCAGATTCCTCAAACAAATACCGTAGAGCACACCATCATCCCATCTCCGCTTCACTGAGAATGTACCGGGAACAGTAGTATTCACACCATTTGGATTTTGACCCAGTGCTGCAGCGAGATTGAGTAACGGATTCGCCGTTGCAATCTCTGCTTCTCGTGCTGCAGCCTGAGTCGCAGATTGTGCCTGCTCTTGCCGAGCCTTTTCCTCCGCTCGCTCACGCTTAATCTTCTCGAGCTCTCTAAGAAGCTCAGCTGTGTCATCTTCCTCGTCGTCCTCATCACTATTCAAATGACAAGTCAATATTCAATGGGACCGATCATAGATATGCATACACGTACTCATCGTCGTCGTCGTCATCTTCATTAGCTGCGTCGTCGTCTCCGCCCTTTCCTCCTCTACTATCCTTCTCCGCCTTTTCACCTGCATCCTCATCCTCATCATCGTCTCGGTCCAGCGCCAACGCCTCCTGTAGCAACTTCCGCCGCTTGTTAGCATCCTCACCCTCATCATTGCGCCCATTCTCCACCGCGAGCGCGGGCTTTCCTTCTGCCTTGCGTTTTCGCTCACGCGCCTCTTGCTCAGCAACGAGTAGCTCCGCGCGCAGATCACGACGTGCGACTTCATTTACGGCGGTCTGACCAGGCTGACTAGAATGAAGCAATGGGTGTTAAGAGTCGTGTCCAATGTACGCCATGAATCACGGACCAGAAAGACCTACCGAAACTTGAGTTTCGTGTGCGCAGCCATGTCGCGCACAGAGAACTGGCGGGAGCCCCCCTTCACGTCCTTTGCTTGAGCGGGGTCCCATGTCGGCCTATGCGCGGTAGACATTGCTCAATGGTGAAAATGACAGTAAAACTGACGTTGCAAGTAGCACAGTCGGACTACCTCAGATGGTTCACTAACAACCCGGCAAGTGGCAAAGTAACACTCATGACGTGACATTTGTGACGACTGTTCTGTTACCTCAGCCTTTTGAATTCATATTCTAAGGTTGCAAGTCTCTACTTAGAGCTCCATGAGCTGCAGCCTGCCAGTCTAGATCTGTGATGACATTAAGGAATTATTCCAGAACTGCCAACAATCCGGGCGTCCTAATTCGATAGCTCTTCCAATGTTGGCCGCTATGGTCGTGCAGCTGAGCTGTATTTCAAAATTAAATTACAAAGTTACTAGTGAGCCTGCCTGTCTGCATTATCACAAGTGCTCCACTTCACGATAGCAACACCCAGTGACTCTTGTTTTTCCGCGACTAGATTTAATCTTCGAGTTAGGAGGTCGTTGTTCACATTGATGGTCTCCAACCGGAAGTTTATGCAAACTTGCTTTGGTTATCAAATGTCCGTCATCTTGAATATCTTAGTCTAATCTGAAGCTTGATTCAATGGGTACGATGACAACCCATATTATTGCTTCAACGAGTGCATAGTGCATAGTAAGTAAATCTAAGCAGCATTGTCCCATTATTGATTGATTTGGTCGGACAACGCTTCAAGCGCCCGAAATCAGCCGCCCGCCACCGTGACAAAGCGCTTGTTGACCCATTGTTCGTGTTCGTCCTGTACAAGCATCTCCATTTTTGCAATGACAATGGGCCACAATCAAATAAAGAGAAGCTCTGTTCCGGCTTCCCTTCCAGTAAATTCCTCTTCTTTTACGCCCCCCCGCCGGACGACGATCAGGTGCTTGACGCACTATTCTGCTAAAACAGTGATCCGCTCATAGACGCACACTCCCTAATACTACACATTCCAAGCCTTGATCATGATGCACTTTGCTTTCATTCTCTTCGTTGCGGCTGTCTTTTTATCGGCATCCTCGCGGCCCCTGCTGAAGAGGAGTGTAAACCCTAATCTTGTCCCTCAGTTCGGAGTGACTGCTGGAATTAAAGCAAATGGATCGGCGTACGTGTCTAATTTCATTGAGGCTGGTAAATAAAGATGCTAATCACTATATCTCTACAGAAGCTGTGAAGGTATTGATGGTGAGTGGCTATCTCGTGAGCTGCTTATATGCGGTCTTACTGGCGCGCAGGTACCAACAAACAGCCTATCCTTATTCCCTGTCAATGCCCTCCCAACCGCGATTCTTTCATTGAGGTGCATTTTCAACTTGAGCTGATACAGCTGGTATACTTATGCTTTCACAGGCTCTGAACGCAAACGTCGCTGCTAGCTACGTTATAAATAATCCCAGCGTCGCAGTGTCGTTCCCCCAGGATAACTCAACAGCGTCCCAACTAGCACGCCTCAATGCATGCCTTGTGACATTGCAGAACCTCAATGGCAGTGGCATCGGCTGTCCGGCTTCCTCCACCACTTGGCTTGCTCTTGAACACTCGATCAGAGATGGAGGCTCTTCGTCGTCTACGTTGGAAGCAACAACTACCCTCATCCCGACCGCGAGTATCGTATCCTCAGCTGCTCTAACATCTGGTGTTGCTGCATCTGCTTCATCAAAGACAACAACATCAGCGTCCTCCCCTGCGGTTGTTTCCAATCCCTGTGGACTTGCAAGCGGTGCAATAAGCACTGCCAGCGCGGTATCTCCATCACCTACCAGTGCGGTAGCCACTTCGAACGTCACAATTGATCCAAGCCTAGTTCCCGAGTTCGGTATCCAGGCCGGCATCAATCCTTCTGGTACCGGGTATGGCATATACATCTTCTTGTGTTCATATGCTCATGCATGGTACAAATTTAGTAACTGTGATGGGATTAATGGTACCAATGGCCAGCCCATCTTGATTCCTTGCGCTTGCCCTCCTAACAGGGATATTTTTATTAATGTGAGCTCCTCCCATAATGACCCATGCTCAGCCACGCTGAATTCGTTTTATCAGGAAATGAGCGCCAACGTAGCCGCAGGCTTCGTACTCAATAATCCATCCGTCAAATTGACATTCCCGCTAGACAACTCGACCACCTCGCAGCTCGCGCGGCTTAACGCGGCAGCTGTCACTCTACAGAACCTTAACGGCACGGGCGTCGGATGCCCTGTCGCTTCGACGACGTTCGCCACGCAGGAGGCGGTGATCAAGGCCGAATCCTCGTGAGTCAGCGGCGTCCCACGACAAGCAACGGTTTAGACTTTCAACTGTATCGACGCTAGATGTACATGTTCTCCTTTTTACTGTATCGCTGATCTCGTACACAGACGTGTTAAAGACACTGTATCGCTTATTACATGTAGCACTACCACTTGAAGCACTCGGATACGTTATACATAGTACCTCATGTGCACATGATGATACCACGCCGGTGCTAGTCCACTTGGTTTTAAATTATGGTGTGGCCGAGAGCTGAGAGAGCAATCCTTTGAGATGCTCGGTGGCACCATGACCAAACGGCAAGTAATTTATGGAAGTCTCAGGTGGCCACCCAGCCTCGTGCGCGATCATGACATCAGGTTCGGAAGTTTGGAAACGCCTCGCGCAGGAACGCTGACACTGGTGCTCAACAAGTTCGTCTCTTCCTCAAATATTGAGTGTGCGAGTCTTCATACGGCCGTGTACCATTTTGGTACCAATCTACTGTACAATGTCTCTTCTCGACGGCACAGATGGGGCTGACCTCATGGCAATGACTGGATCGTATTCGTCACGGCTGCTCCCTTAAATCAAACCATGTGCTGTCAATTATCAAACCCCAACATCTCAGAGATTCCTGGACAAGCTGTAATTCGTTAACCTGCGTTATTTTCCTGCGTCCACTTTCGACGCGTACTCTCGATACTTCCGATCCCCATAGTTTCAACGAGTGAGGTTAGTGGTGCGTTGTTTCCAGTCGTGCCGCCTACGAGTATTTGCTGATGAATATAACGCTATTTGGCCTCCAGCTATACCATTCCAAGCTTTCATTAGACTGTTATGTAATACTTGGGGACAAGCGAACTCAGCCTACCAGGATGGTCATTTGGAGCCAAAGATGAGGAAAGAACAAGGCCGGCGACGCTATCCGGTGTGAGCGCTCAGCTATCAACATCGCTGCACCTGGACCTGTTTATTGTTTTTCTCTCCTGGTCTTGATACCGTCGCTCCTCACGACAGTACTATTGTACTCCTTGACTAAGGCTGTTCAGAGCTGGGGACCATCATGGACCCACCATGGGGGTATTTGACTGGAGCAGGATCGTCTCGAACGGTATTCGCGCAGCGCGCTTATCCCTGGTTCCTCCTTCCTAGCTGGTCTTCCTCAGAAGCTGCGCCTCTGACGACTGTCCCAATATGACTGGCCAGTGTGTTCTCCCCCCTATCCGTCTTCCTCGGGGCCCGACTTCTCCCTGCCTATCGGGATCTGATTGGGTATATGGTATCCTCCACGCCACATCCTACTCTTGCGCAGACACCACTAGATGCTCATCCAGTGAGACCACACTATGCGACTCGCAGCAACGACTTGGACGGAACATTACAGCGCCCTCAGACGTCACTTCACCTTCTATGGCATCTACGCCTGGTGCTGAATGTCAGCGTAAGCACCGTTTCGACCGCATTCTCTCGCCCTATACTAGACGGCCGCAGCCTTCTCCCTTCACGAAACGTTATACCGCTTTTCCTTCTCCCACTCTCGGTAACGAGATGGATACCCCGTGTACATCTTATAACAACCTCAACAAGAAGGGGGGTTCGATCGAGAATCAGCGACTTTCTCGAAGTCGCTCTTCGCATCGTTCACAAGGAATTACTTCGGCAGATAATGGCCTTTATGGACAGGTCGAGGTTGGTGAAGCGAGTGAGCGTCGAAGTAGCGGTTTAGGGCTCATAATGGGTCCAGTTCGCTACCCATTAATACCCGCCACTACGACCTATTCAGAACGCTTACGCCGACTGGCGCCACCGCCTTTGAAGCTCATGTCATTATTGGCCGACCCTCTTTCATCTTCCACTCCACGTCTTTTGGCCTCTCCAGAGCCGAGTATTATCTCCCCAAATCTGCATCAAGTCGCATGCCCCTTACCTACTGGTCATCTCCTCCGCCCAACAGTGGCGACGCCGCTCAGCCCTTCCGACGACCCGGATAGCACATCCCTCTCCTCGTTCGAGCTTCTTCATTGGCGGAGACGACTGGGACGCGCCACTGAGCCGCCACTCCCGCCACTGAGCTCCTGCCTACCCGGACTGAAATTCTCTCCCGTTCGGCCTGCACTCTCGCTCTTACAAGAGCGAGGAAGTTCCCGCGATTCTGTCTCCCCTCGTTCTGAATACACCCGCTTTGAAGAGCCACCTGCATACACCCGTTCGATCAATACACCTGTGTCGTCTGCGGCTGACGCCCCACCTTTGCCTCGCTTGCCCTGTATGTCGTTGCCGCAGGTAATGCACGATGATGAATCCTCCGCGCAAAGTACCCCACCCCTGTCCCCCTTGGGGATCACTTTCCGTGATGCCCTTACCATCGATAGTCTCGTGGTACGTGCAGACAAGTGCTTAGCAGCAGCAGGCGACGCGGCATTGGTAAGTGGTGATTTGTTCACGCACCAACCGTTCCTCATGTGTTCCTGTAGTCACTGTGCTCGTGTAGTCTTTTGAAGGACCCCGAGGCCATATTTGGCGTGTGTAGAGGCGTGCAGGAGGAGCTATGCCATATTCGAGGAGAGCTTGACGCGACTCCGGAGGATAGCGATGCGCAAGACACAGATGAGTTTCAACGCTGGTTCCATAGCCATTGGCAGATCTTATCGTCCCTTGAGCGGTAAGACTTAACGCACCTGTAAGATATGAGAACATCGACGTTAATTAATCTCACCACAGGAACCTGAACATTTTTTTTCTGTTTACGGATCAAATATGCAGAAATCCGCCGCGCATACATCGCTTGGCAGGGCATGTCGATAAAATGCATGCATTCCTCGCCAAATTTTCCGACCTTGCTCGGAGACTTGCTGTAAGTGCTGTGGCGCGTCTTGTCCGACCCCGAACCTGATGTTTTTCATGTAGATCTCACACGAGAAACTGCGCCAGTTGCGAGTGCATACCCAGCTCGTCGCCGAACGTCACGCCGCACTTCTCCAAGCTGAGGCCGAGCGCATGCGTCGGGGCGAGTTTCGAGCGGCGCGGCAGGAAGGGCGCGTACGGCGCAAGATGATGCGAGATGAGATCCGACATTCCAAGAATATCACTCGGGAGTTGCGTTTGACGCGACGTGGACGCGATGGAGACGGACCCGACGCCAATCGTCACTCAATCAAACATTGATGCTCGTATCGCCTTGCGGCAACCATGGCTCCGTGCGGCACGACAGCTTGCGTCACTCCTGGACGTCGGCTTTTGCGAATCAAGAGACGCCATCAAAAACATTTTCTCAGGTTTCAAGATCATTTTGTTCAACGGTTACATTTGTTTAATTAAATTCGGAGTATATTTCTTGTATTTTGACACTCACTCTGTATCGATAGAGTTGCTGGCTATACGGTCTGACGACATTGCTATAAGTAGCACCTTATGATCAACCCTGCCACGATATATGGCTGGGCACGACCTGTGATGACTTCTCATGTACATACTATGCGCCCCCATGGATATTTGTATTGTATTATGGTTTGATCTCGTTATGCTCGTAGTGAAGATCAATCAACTTGGGACTGTAAAGACGCTACAACACTAGCATCATGTAGTCTCTTGTTACATCAAGTCACTGGCTGGCGGAAGTTCGTTGAACTCGGAGAGAGGTTCGGGCAGATCAGTCATTTCCTTTTTTGGAAAAGCGACCTGCCCTAAGCGAGTATGGTATACAGTATCGCCTTGGACATTGCTATTCCTCAGAACATACTCAGCTAGGATCTATTTTATAGGTACTAACTCGAGTCTCGCATGTTTATACATGCCACATCTTTCGAATCCAGTAGATGATACCTGCGCTCGCTCGTTATACCGAGAACATGCTGCTTTCAGGCAGCTCGAGGACGTTTGGTTGATTCGCAGCTTGGCTCTTCGAGCGACACTGTAGATTTTCCAGCGGGTTGAGCGTATGTCTGATGGATTTATTTTCTGATATGTAATACCCAATTGTACTCCATGAATCGTGTTGAATCTTACTGCATGCATTGTCTAACGAACTTTGATGAGTTGGCTATAGCTTGGTTTGCATGTAGTCCCAGGAACAATCTGTCATGTTATGTGCTTATCCTCATCAGGTACCTGGTTACTGAGTGACATTTTTGCCACTTGGCCCTCTGCGTCCTGAATCTCCACCTCAATAGCATCTGGTTCATCCACTGGCTGAAGCTCTTCCTCCCCCTTACCAACTTCATCCAAGTTCATCACCTTAACAAACCACTTTGCACCCTCCTCCCACCCAACATTCTCAGCCTCTCCAAGCGGCGAACGTCCCATAGCATTTTTTATGTCGATGAGGTCTGCGCCAGGACCTGCTGGATATTGCACGAGTTTCTGTGCGACGGAGATGTGTGAATTCAGTGCTGCCCAATGCAACGGTGTCGATTTTGCGGCATTTTGCGCAGAGATGAGCGAGGGCGAAATAATGGGCAAAAGATAGTCTAGCGCGTCTGTAGCCCATCTTGTACTGTCAGGTTACGGCTGGATGCGACCATGTCAAGAGCATGACAGAAGCATACCTGCGTGTCCGTTAGCACAGACCATGTGCAGCACAGTGTTGCCGTTGTCATCGCGGGCATTGTTCAAGTGATCAGGGCCGAAGCAATCAACGAAGTGCTGTATGTCGTCGAGGTCTCCATAGCGGCAGGACAAAATCAAGTCCTCGATTTCGTCGTTGGAAGGAATTGAGACGGACATGTTGAGAGAACGTCTGGAAGCAAAGGTAGCAAAGCAACTGTGTGTGATTGGGTGACTGAGATGATCTAATCGATCCAATAACTACTTATCGAAGCTAAGATTTTGAAATGTTAAATTGCCTCTCGATTAGCGACTGCGCTGATGGATTTGTTACGATTGTTGTGGACCTGTGGCACAACTTGATCCGAGACCTTTTTCCCAGACTTGAGACATGGTCAATCGCAATTGACCATGCTGGGATGCAGTCCATATGTCGCCCTCCTCCCTCCTGGGATCCTGATCCACGAGATTGGGACCTTACAAAGTCTCACATTCTACTTCGCTCTCCCAGGATGTAGGTTCTGATTCTGTTGTCAATCAAACCTTTTGGTTGAAGAGCCGGTAGCCACAAGACTCGTACCGGCTACGGAGTCCGACATGTCCATGTGGAGTCGTTACCATTACGGGCCCACATCAAGTTTGGGTGGATTGCGACCGCGGGGCTCGGCTCCCGATGTATCAGCGGAGACGTGCTTATGGACCCGGTCTGATGGCATCGCTTTTCAGTCCCGTACCTACGGAATGAGACTCTGAGCTCTTGGAGCCTTCATTAGACGTCTGAACTGGAAAACTGCCCTCTTTTTTTGGCCGCAGCAACCACTGGCATCTACGTCTGCATGACCGTTTGTTCAATCTAGGTATTCTCTAATAATGCCCTCCCCGCCTACTTTTCTTGCTTGGGCCATACTTTCATGCCTCGTGCGTCGTTCTGCTACTCTCATCGTGATCATACGGCTGAGTCTGATGTCCTCTAGCTTGGGGCATTTCTATTCTTTCACTTGTGGAAATTCGATCGCTTCAAGTGTTTGCGGTGAGCATATATCAGCGAATATTCTAGAACTCGACTTAACGTCTCATCTCGGTTGTAGATGGGAAAATGGCCCTCATTCGGGTGCATTCAAGCGTGTCATGACAGTGTGTACATAGACAGTCATACAAGCATTTGCACTGGCTGATTCTTGCAGTACACATATCTACTCAGTGTTCCCCTCATTATTATTTATTCTGTCGGCTTTTGCGTCCTCAGCTACGATGTGGGCTATGCTGATATTCCTGGGATCGGAGGTATGGCTTTCATTATGACAATCGACCTTACAATCTCATATTTCTAACGTGCAGTCGTTCCAATACCGTTCGAATTCTGGCTACCCAAATATCATCGCGCAATTTTCCCTTTGAACATTGTCTTCTCTTTTTCATGGGGCCTTGAGATGTGAGTCTTCTCTCCGGTAGGCTGAAAGCGCATGTATTCAAGAAAAGCATATAGGGTGACACACCTTGAAGGTAGCAGTGCCTTTCACTTTTCAATTTATCATTCCTGACCTCGTACCAATAAGAGCTATGCTTTTGGCTCTTCCTCGTGAATGCCGGTAAAGTGCAGCAGGATTGGTTCCGTACTTTCTATTTCAAGATCTGGGCGGTGGGATCGATACTTGCTTTTGCATACATGCCCATTGTTACCATCGTCACTCGGTCCAATGCTGACACTGTGCGATCCTTGTTTCTTTCAAGAGTACCAAGTTGACAGCTAACATCATTGCTCGACTAGAATACAGCGGCTACGTTCACGGCCGGCAGCATCGGAGACCTGACTCTCACTGTCTGTTTTATGCCTGTTTTGTGAGCCTCGCTTTTGATGCTAGTCCAACTTGCTGTTGACCTATCCTGTCAGATTCCAGTTCCCGGGCTTCTTAAGGAATTTGGTAAGTTTTTGTGAACTTTGACAAGTTTGAAGAAAGCTGAGTGGCCATGCACAGAAATCAGAAGGCGTGGATATTAATACCATTGTCCGTCTCACGACGTTCCATGAGCTTAACGTATGTGCTACTATCACTCAGCAGCTTTACGTAACCGTTAATCTGTGTTCAAAGCGGATTCGTGTAGTCTTCCGGTTCCTGTTCTTCGCACCCCTTCTGATTTTGGGTGTGGATGGGCTCACTGCCCGTGCGGTTGTTAACAGCAGCTTGTGGGTTGCCCCAGTCGCCATGTGGATGATACTGTCTAATCTTCGTCTAGATTCGCGTCCGAATTTTTGGCCTTCATGGCTGGCATCGGATGTATGGTCTCATCCGGCATCACTCTTGTGGTGCGTCCGCAAAGCTGATCACGTTCACAACATATGAACTCAGTCATCATTTGCAGATATTTTTCCCTCGATCTGTCCAATCCGAGGTGCAAGCGCGCAACGCCTCTCGCGAGAAATCGCAGCAAATGCGCACATTCCAGTCAACACAGCATTCTGAATACAATTCTTCCTACTCTCCTAGATCCCTGTCGCCTCAGAAAAGCTCTGCGCCACCATATTCATCTCACCCCGGAGGCGAGAATCTGGTGATCAGTATCGAGGACTCTGCCATGATCAAGGCCCCTGTACTCGCCCCGGGGGATCCGGTAACTGGTAGTCACCCAGCTGCGACGACGTTCAAGACATTTGCGCCAAATCGCCGTCTCGACTCGGGCGCAAAGATTCACGGCGGTGTCAAGATTGTTGGGCTAACAGAGGGCAACTTGGCGCATCATAATCACCAGTCATCAAATGTTCATCCCTTCGTACATAATTTTACATCGCCTATCGGTACGTTTGTGGGCCTTGCCTCGTTTCGCGCTGACCTGATGCCTATCGCTGCATAGATTTGTTACAAGGAGACAGTTATCAGGGTATTACCCAGTACGGAAGAGGGTAGTCTTGCAATGCTAGCTTCTATTACACATACCTGTATATCAACAGCCTGCCTGGTTATTGTTGCCCGAGTGATTATTCAGTATGCGTCCACGTCTTGGCTGTATCATCTTCTGCGACATAATCAAGCTGAGGTGGGAGACTCAGCGGTAGGGGGGCACACTGCGTGTTCGGTACTGTCCCATCTGTGACATCTGTTTCTGATTCTCGAAAAACTAACAAGATTAGATGCAGCAGAAAGGTTCACTAGAGTGGGTCTAGAATGGATATCACAACAACACAGTATTTGAGAAAGACATCGAATGTATCAGAGCAAACGGAAAGGCCACAGTGGAAGCATTACTGCTAGCCAATATTGTCTGTGAAGTCCTGTACAAATACTGAACGGGTTGGGTCCTGCCTCACACGGTCATCTTTTATCATTCTAAGGCGCAGATATCAGGTCGCATGATGGGAGTTCAGAATTTTGAGCTACACACCGCGCGTCGATTCTGGGATCATCGCCTTCAACACCCAGCACTGCTTGTGGCGTTTTTGCTTCAATGACCTATCAGTGTATCAGACAATGAATAGTGACAGCACGGCGCGACACTCACATAATGGTTATCGCAATGAGGGCAGTATTCATCACTCTCGTCATAGTTGGACATATCTTTCCGGAACGCCTTCTTGCATTTCTTGCACATAAATGCCATCTCCGTTGTTTTCCTCAGTCGATGGTCCTGGGTCTCGGCGTGGCATTCGGCGCAGTCAAACCACTGCTTGCAGCAGGGCGCACGAATGGCAACCTGTGCATTCAGAATGTGTTTGCTAAATCGTAGAAAGGGTCGGCATCGTGCTCAACAGTAAGATAGTGATCTGCCCCAGGACCTCCAGCCGACTTAGTGCTACAATTATCGGCCTAGATGGACCTGAAGCAGACCTATGAGCCAGCAAATACTGACCACATCGTTTCGATGTTGCGAGGCTGATAGCGTTTTCACGAGAGCAAACTCCCACTAGTGCGTCCGGAGTGGAGGATGCGGGAGAAAGCCAATCGCGCAAAGTGGCTGTTTGCCGACTTGTGGCTCAACTCTCGCTCAACGAGGCTCTCTTCGAGCCGTAATTAGCCTCTGGCAATCCTCAAGAGCTATCACGATATTATACCCCAGGATCCCAAGGTTTAACATGAAAACGGCCCGTTTTATCTATTTAATTTGTAGAACATGAGGCGTGATGGAAAGTAACGGAGGATTTCATATCTTGGGGCGCCTGCTCTCACACTCCCCACCGCTGTCTTTCGAGCTGGCGGCGTGACTGCTCTCCTCCAGGCTTCGCCAACCTCGACATTGTGCATGGCATGCGGACCAGCATCGACGGACGCCCACGATGCAGTTGTAGCTACAGCCGACAGCAACTCTGATTCCGGGTCGCCATTTCCTCTTGTCATTACCGCAGCCGTTGAACAACCCATGTATCAACAACCTTCAGTACTCGATGAGAAGACAGTGTGCTCGTTGCCGGAAGGAGATACTGTTTCTGTCGGAATTGCAGGTGAGCTACGTTTTATGTCTGCCCTTGTCTCGCTGCATGGGTGGGGCGGCGCACACGATGTCGGTATGGCATGGCAGCCTGCCTCCTCCCACGCTCAACGCGCAGAACAGAGGAATGCAAATTATTCTCTCCGGATTACTATCCTTGCGCGATGAGCCTCTTGAGTCGGGTCTTCACACAATTAATATATCGGCATTTCGCTATACCAGATGAAAGTTATGCACTACAATCCCATGGTGCATACCCTCCAGTAACAACGCAAACAAAACCCGAAGGGGATATTTCCTCGCTGTATCTGAGTCTTCAGGGTATGGCGCGAGGCTCCGCTGTTTTGCCTATGCCCTCTTGCCACCGGTATCTTGACCTTCTGGCCCAAATTCCCCGGACTAAGGTAATTCCACCTCGCGACGAGTCACCGACCCCGCAAACTAGCGGCGTGGACCATCAAGTTACCAGCACAATGCATCCCAATACGATTTATTTCACCTCTAGTGTCACGGTGTCGACGGCTGCACCATCACAGAGCAGTGGCCCACCTAATGTGAACAATGTCCTTGGGCCGCTGCTAGGTGGACTGTTGGGCGGGTTCTTCGGACTAATTGTAATTGTAGTAATATTATGGTGTATCTGGTGCGTTTGCAATTACGTCGAAACAACTCACTCGCGCGCTCACGCTCCCCCCCACATTAGGCGCAGACGATACGACATCTTTTGCAGGCGCGATTTTGTTGACCCTGAACCGCCAGTATTGGACTATAAACAAACTGGACATCCGTCAAGGGGCAACTCAGCGGTATCCTCACCTGAACCATCACGACAGCCATATCCATATGGCCAAGTTGGACGCCCTCTTTCCTCCATATCCACATCAACGTCGGCTCATTCACCCACTCTGACGCCTACATATTCACATTCACCATCAGTACTGACGACGAACTATAGTCTGCCGCTCTCTGCGGCACCGTCGACGTTGATGAACTTGACCACGACGCCGTTGCCTGGCGCAAGCACTGCGTTGTCGCCTGGATCGAGTGTAACATCGTTCTCTAGAGCATCGACACCTGGCTTAGTGTATCCGGCCCCTTTATTGCAGTACCGAAATGAGCGACAGCAGGGCCGACTGTCGTGGCCGCGTTATAGTAGTTCAGAGGATGGAAACGACGAGAGTCGTTCTTCGGTCCTGAGGCCACGCAGTGAGCGCCGGCCTTCGAGACTTTCATTGACGCTTGCGAATTGGAACCCAGAGACGGATGCAGAGCTGGACGTCATGAGAGCAAGCGACAGCGACGAACGTAAGGACTCGAGTGGGATAGGCACGAAGGAGATTGATGGAAAATCAGCTAACGGGGGACGAGCAAAAGCGGAGTCGCCTTCTCCATGCGCCAAACAGGTGTTCGTGGGCCCGAGTCGAACGGACCCGGATGACTGTCGGTCAGCTGAAGACAAGGTGGATTTGCCGCCGACGTCATAGTTTCTCATCATGCCCGGCTATCCTCGTTCCGAGCCAGAGCGTCCTAGAATATCGGAGACGCTCGGGTCTTATTGTTACCTGGCCCAGAATGCACATGGATTCAGACATTCATCTGCTTCGACAACCAGCTGTTCTCACCGCTCCTGGGCATTAGACACAAATCTATCTTATTTTGCGTATGTTTTTATTACAGATGATCGGATGTGCTGCTCTGAAATCTTGTGGTGCGCACTGAGGCCTACCGCGATGGTGACACTAACTACAGCCCGAGGGATGAGAGGATCGTTATCAAGCGCTTCAGCCACAATGACAGTCATCAAGTTCTTGCAATGATGGGTTTGTCGTAAGCTTCGGTCGGGGCATGACCAGGTGGTTGCATGCCAGGCCGTTCTACGCACTGTCGGAGGGAGGACCGTTGGCCGATGTCAGCTCTGGACACTCGGGGCTTGACGGCTAGCATGAAGCCTATCGTGTGAGAGGCCCAGAAATCCCGCTGTACGTTCCTAGCCACGTAGTTTCGTGCGCGAGCTCTCCCGAGCTTGTCTTCCGTGAGTCATCCAAGCCTGTATAAAAGCAGCCTGTGCGTGGCCTACTCTCTTCATCAGTACTGATCACTTCCTCGTCTACGACAGCACCTTCACGACACCCTCCCTTCCAACCCGCCTACCTCCAAACTCCTTAATCCTCTTTACAACTCACTACACTCTCCAAGATGGCCGGAAACCAGGCGGTGTCCCTCAACCCCCCAGACGCCGTAGAGCACCTCACTACCCAAGCCTCTGACTGGCTGTGGGCGGCGTTCTCTATTATGGCGTTTTCTCTGCTCACTGCTGCGGTCTTCACTCTAATGGTGTGTTTCAAAGATCTACATTGACGAGTTAGTTTCTGATGCGCCCTCTCAGAGACCCAAGGGTACTCGTCTGTTCCACCAACTTGCCCTCATCGTTCTCGCGACTTCCAGTATTGCCTACTTCTCTATGGCCTCTGACCTCGGTGCTACTCCAATTGACGTCGAATTCCGTGGAGATGGTAGTGACCCGAGCCGTCAAATCTGGGTAAGTTGTCCTTTTGGAGTTTGTTGTACAGTGGCTAATAACGTCCGCCGTAGTATGTCCGGTACATTCAATGGTTCATTACTTTCCCCGTTCTGCTCCTCGAGCTCCTGCTCGCGACCGGTCTTCCCCTCTCGGACGTCATGACCACGCTGTTCATGGGTGCCGTCGTTGTTGTTTGCGGCCTCGTTGGTGCTCTCGTCCACAGCACCTACAAATGGGGTTACTATGTCTTCGGCTGCTGCGCGCTCATCTACATTTGGTATGTTGCGATTCTTAAATTAAGCTACATCCGCTAACCACCCTCCCAGGTTCGTCCTCCTCTGGCATGCGCCCTCGACGACCTTTGCCGCCGGTGGTGTTGTCCGCCGCGGATACTACCTCGCTGCAGGCTACCTGTCGTTCATGCTGATCACCTACCCGATCTGCTGGGCGTGCGCTGAGGGCGGCAATGTCATTTCCGTCGACTCTGAGATGATCTGGTACGGTATCCTCGATTGCCTCACTGTCCCCGGATTCCTCGCCTTCTTCCTCTGGGAGTTGCGCGACGTCGACTACAACTCGTTTGGCCTCCATTCAGGCAAATTCGTCGACCACGGCGAGAAAGGCCCGAACCCCTCTGCCGCCCAGCAGGCCTAAAAGATCGCGCTTGCAAATTTTCTTTCTCGTTTCTTGGAGCACGACGGTTACGAATGCACGAACGAATGACTTACTGGTATTAGCGGTTGTAATTTCACGCTCCACTTACTCATCTGCTCCCTTTACGATCCGGTAGAATAAACCTTCAGTATTTAATTTGGTTGCACGTGTAATTCTTCTTCTGCCCTTCTCTTGGGCTCCCAATGCGCATTGGTTTCTGTGGATCCACATAGTTGGTATGAATGGAAGGATTTTCTGTGCCAGACAGCTTCAAAACTAATTTTGATCTGACTGGGTTGGTATCAGAACTATGAATGATGAGATATGTTGTGGGCTTTGTACATTCACGTCCGACAAGAGAGCTAGATTTTTATATGGATATAATATGCTTCTGTATTGTGAAAAATGAAGACATCATAGATAGGTGTAAGCTGTGACAACACCTCCCACATCATGAAACGTGACTGCTCGGGTTTGAAAAACTATTTTGGGCTTATTAATTAGGGCATCGTAGTGTAGTGGTTAAGCACTTGGGATTTTGAGGAGTCTGCATAGGCTTGCGTAGTCTCGTAATTTCCCACAACCCAGGTTCGAACCCTGGCGACGCCTACTTTGTTTTGGCTCGCTTACGTTAGTGTGTCTTGAACGACATGTGATAGGTTTGAGTCGGACCATAGTATATATCGTCATAGTATATATCGTTCAACATCAAGGAAAGTTAGAAGTCATTCTGAAATCAAATTCGAAATTACACCAGGCTTTAGGATGCGCAGCGGCCTGAGCTGTTCATCTCATCCAACATGCCTCGTTTCAAGCTTGTATTCTTTTGTCCAGCACCGTCTACCCAGATGGTGCTACACCACCTCTTCGATCAATTTCCGCAGAATGTCGGACGCATTGGAGCATATAGCGGATGTGCTTTTGTCAGCCGGGGAACAGGTCGGTATCGTGCTCTTCGCCCCTCACTTGCTTACAAGTACTGAGCGGTAATTCGGGATACTTCCTGTGATCCTACCACGTCCGACTACGCGTCTCATGTGCTTCTGGCGTAACCGTTCTATGGCGCCACAGGCCAATTCACTCCCCTCACCGGCGCGAATCCCGCAGTTGGTTCAATCGGCACACCTGAGCGCGTCAGTGAAGACCGTGTGGAGGTTCTAGTGCGTGAGGATACGTCTTCAAGTGGACAGGGCGTCGAGATACGTCGCGTTTTGGAAGAACTTAAAAAGGTGCGCATGCGATGTCGTGCAAGGTCCGTGCGTCGTGAATAGAGTGCACCGAAAATTTAGGCTCATCCGTATGAGGAGGTTGCATATGATGTTTACCGACTGGAAGACCTTTGATCCCATCATCTTAGCAGCTCGTGCAGCGTTTCGTAGCAGACCCGCGCTGCCAACATAGTGAGCCCAAAGATTTCCTGAGCGCTTTACAGCTACTACTTCACACCAAATACATTTGAACTCATTAGCCCTTGAAAGTCCATCAAGCACTTGCCCGTACCTCGCACAATCGTCAATATTCAGTTTTTCCACATCAGTCACAAGTCCGATATTTATTTGTCGGTTTTTCTGATGATTCTCTGAAGACACTTGCAATCGGACATAGGCTATCAAGGCGAGGGATATGCATAAAACTGAAGGAAGCGTACTATTACTGGCAGGTGAGATGAGATGCTACAGATTAATACATACTTATGTATATCCTTGCTAATCCTACAAGCGAAGAGTGCAGAACCCGACCACATGCGAAGAAAGCTATCATGACAGACGTGTGTATGCAACAATTCTCCCTGGAAGGGAGCATAAGTCAACAGTATCCTGTGTGTTGCAATATGAAAGCTGCAGATGGGATAAGTTCAACATTGGCAAACAAGGTAATGGAAGGGCGCACACATAGAAAGTTGTTCGTCAAGGTCCTAGAACTAACGATCATCGGTTCAACGCAAATCTAGACGTCGAGCAAGTGCACCACGTCAGCCAGAGAAGAATCGAATAAAGGATCATAGACGCACGAATCGATGACATCGAAAAGGGATCCCGCTCCCCTCAATTGCATTGCGACCGCAGTAGAGGCGATGGCGGCAGCGATACCCGCTGCACCCAGGATCAACTGTTCCTTGAGCGAGGTTTCCACCTCAAAAGTTGGGTGTTCGATGATGTCGAATGCACGCATGATGGGGAAGAGAGTTGGGAACTGAGGACCGTTCGATAAAATGAAGAAATTGCAAACGTGTGGTCAAGGCCGTTATATGGAGTGTGGTAGAAGAGTAGAACCGAGACACGAAGATGGACGCTGCTGGGAAAGAATGACAACCGCGTCTACATGACGGCAGCTTAAATATCTAGAGGCTATGTGGCTAGTCGTATTGTTGCGATGCCGCCGGTCCTCTCTAGCCGCCATGGACAGCATGGGACGCGAGCTTGTGATACCCACTCGCGTAAAGGACCCCGAGCACCTCAACTACCCGTTTATAGTAATTTGCGTTCGCCTCGCCCGACCCGTGGTGGCGGCGATGATTCGCGATGCCTGATGTGACTATTTCGAATCTGTACCGCCGCGGGCTCAGGCTCGTTATTAAATGAACACTTATGCCTCAGCGTTATGTTTGGTGCACGCCCAGATGATCATAAGTGGCTAGATTCGTATCTACACGAGGAATCCTATGATCCCGCGCTCTTTCAGGCTAGCATCGGAACTTCATCGACCCTAAGTAGTGGGAGTGAGTCCATTGCAATGATTGCATGCAATGGAACACGTATTTAGTGGAAAGGCTGGGTTGAACAAGCTCAGCGACCGCGAGGTCCTAAAGCCCCCGTGTCGACATACTAGTGTCGGATATGCTCACGGCAGACCTTGATATATTGATAGCTTGATAGGTTACGTCTCGCTGGAGGACCCCAGCGGATCGATGTCAACAGCCTCCGTAGTCTCATCTATGGCCATTGAAACTTATCAGAAAGGAAAAGACATGATTGCTGTCCAGATCAGGCGTTTATGAAGTTGTCTGTCCAACATAAATAAGTTTACGGAAGACTTGTGTACTACCATATATCTATGTAGGGGTACATTACCGGTGGAATTGGCCATATTGGCACGCAGGAAGGAGTTTTAGACATAGATAGGATTGAGAATGTACACTAAGTGACGATACAAATCGTGGAAGAGTAGCAAGCACCCTTGAGTCAGAGGAGCACACACACAGAGAAAAAGAAACACTAGAATCAAGCTAGCCAACATGCATAAATATGTCCAGATATAAGGAATCGCTCAGTGCGAGCAGTCTGTGGATATTCTCGCTCGCCGCGTCGATGATGATCGAGCATTGTGGATATACATATAAACTTACAGTCAAACATTTTGAGCCGAGAAAACGACCCGCGAGGAGAGAGGATCAGAACAGACAAACAAAGTTGCTTGGGAAAACGTGGCGCCCAGGCTGCCTCCGGGCTTCGTCCAACAGTTCTCCGGACCACCAGCCGTCTTCTGGCGTCGCGGTGACAGCGATGATATCACCCGACTGGAAGTCAAACTCCTCTTCAATGGTAGCTTGATAGTCATACAGCGCTTTGACTGCAATTATGAATAAGTGAGGCAGTTCTATGCCTGAAAAGGGCCCCTTACCATAAAATAGGATCCCACGCCCATCATCCGTGAACGCACCAGTCGGTGGCTGCCCATGGGCAGCAGGCGGCTGTGGTGACGGCTGGCGTACGGGACTTGGTGCACGATACGACAGCTGTCCTTGCTGCGCATGAGGTGCATAACCGCCCTGGGGACCGTAGTACCCGTTCACTGAGGCACCTCTCTGCAAATCCTGCACGACTTGCCCTTGCTGTGAATAGCCGTGAGGTTGGGGTTGGTAAACAGGCGCTTGAGGCTGCTGTTGCTGCTGCTGTTGTTGCTGTTGTTGCTGATATTGAACAGGTGGGCCGTACATAGACTGATTCGGCGGCGGCGGGGCTGCCGGGGCGCCATACGGATGTCCATAGCTCGGAGCAGCAATAGCGTTGGATGGGTTATTATACTGCGCGTGAGGTTGTCCCGGTGGAGGCGGCGCATATCCACTCGTAGCGACAGTGTATGTCGGCCGACGCTGAATTTCCTGCTGAGGCTGCTGCTGCGGAGGCGGGGGGTTCTGATGAGGTGGTTGACTGTATTGGGGCTGGTGTTGTCTATGTGCATATATATCGGCCATAGAGTCTATCGCGACACGTCCACTGGGGTCAAGTGCGATGCCAACACTGTTCGGGCTCGCTGCACGTTGCTGCTGGGCTGGATGCTGTGGCACCGATATCGAGTTTTGTCGGATGGAACTTTGAGACGGTGCATGGGCGTGCCCCGGACCTGTACCGTTCACCGATGGGGGCGGAACCCTCTGATAGCTGTTTCTGTGGGCAACTTGCGCGCCGCCTTGCGATGGAGGTGCAGCCGGGCTTGTGCTGCGTGAAAGAGGGGCAAACGGCTGAGGGCTAGTGCTCCGGCCCTGAGCCCCAATGCCTGCTTGCCCACCAATGCTTAGGGGACGCTCGCGCTGTATTTGACTTTGGCTCTGGAGTGACTGGCCAGGCATTCCACCGGTGCTCCCAGCTCTACTGGTCGGTCTACTGACCGACTTACGCTCACCAGGGAACGACTGCTGGTAATCCGCTAGTACATCCTGCACGGGGAAATTTCCCATAGGGCCAGTCGAGTTGTGGGACGGTGGTTGCATATGCGCCGCGACAGGAGGATTAGGCGATGCAGGACGTGACGTGGGTATCTGAGGGTATGCACCGACGACCATCTGTGCCGAGCGACGATAATCAAGGGACGACCGACGATTACCGTCTTGCGAGCCACTAGGAGGCGGTGAGAGTTTTGCAGCAGAGTCGCGCTTAGTCGGCGAAGCGCTAGTGGGGGACGACTGAGACATTGGTCCCTGCGATGACTGTCCTTGCAAAGACCATTGCCCACTGCGCCTGACGCTGGTACCTCGAGCGGGCGCGGCTTTCTGCAGCTCTGCCATCTGCCGTGCGAGTGGGTCATCGTTCTGGCCGACCTTGACCGGACTTGCCACACCATGACCCGTGCGCGCCTGGGGATCGCGCGAAAGATCGACATCGTATGCGTTATCCCCAATCTTAATCATGGTCTTCGCCGTTGGATCGATCGGGTCCGCCTGCGGATCTGCGACGCGGGTACCCGCCGCAGGAGACCTGTCTGATCGTACGTGTTGACCAGACGCGGGCGAATGTCCGTTGGGCTGGGATGACTCCAATGTCACG